AGGATGAAGTGGTGTGGGGGGAGTATTAGTGGTAGGAGGATGGATATCGGAAGGATGAATAGTTGAGGGGGATGTGTTGTCTTGGGAGGGATTAGGAGGAAGGGGTGTAGGGGTGCTATAAGTAAGAGGGGGGTAGATATTAGAAGGACGGATATCGGTGGTGGACGGAATTGAGGGTGTTAAGTTGTGTTGAGAGGGAGTAGAAAGAAGGGGTGTAGGGGGAATATAGGAGGCGAATGAATATCGGCAATCACTTCAAGTGTGGAAGGACCATGAGTTATGGGATCTTGTGTCTCAAGCGTATAGCTTTGAATGTCATCCATAGTTTCTGCAGTGGAGTTGGTTGGAGAGTTTTGTGGGACAAAGGTTTTCTTATGAGGGGGGAAGAGGAGCCTAGTGTCTCAGGAATAAAGGTAAAGGTAGGTGGAGGTGATTGTGCTGTAGGGGAAGAAGGGTTAGAACGTTTAGTCTGTCTACTGCGGGTAGTGCAGGGAGGGATAGGGAATGGTGTTGGGGCTCTATTTGAGACTGGAGCTGTGGTTGAGATTGGAATGTCTGGATTTAGAGTGCCAAAAGAATTTGTCTAAGGGCGGTAGAATGTAGAAGTGGTTGGGGCTGTAGTTGAGATTGGAGCTGTGGTTGAGATTGGGGTGTCTGGATTTAGAGTGGCAAAAGAATTGGTCTGAGCGAGGTAGAATGTAGAATTGGAAATGGGAACATCTTGGGGTGAAGGGGGAGGGGCTGAGGGAACGATGTTACTAGAGTATGGAGTATGAGAGAAACCTTGTCGACATGCTTCCTGTCTGGCTTCACGTAAAGTGAGACCATTTTTATATCTGAGAGTTGCTACCTCAGATTCAAACTTGTAAGTGGGACAGCCTTTCTAAAATACATTATGGGGGCCGCCGCAATTAGCATATGTACGTGTTTGTGCTGAGCAGTTTGATCGGTTATGACCAGGTTGGGCACATATGGGGCATCGGTCTGCGTAACGGCAGTGTTTGGCAGGATGTCCAAAGCGCCAACAGTTTTGACATTGACGGGGAGGGGGTTGGTATGGTCGAACAGGGAGGGATTGTCCACCAATGTAGATACTTAAGGGAAGGTCATGTGTACGGAAAGTAATTTTAGCAATGTTGGTCGGATTCTTTTGTTGACTTCTAGAAGGAATGGTATAGCAATGTACTGATTTCACATCTTGGTCTTTGAGGCATCCTAATAAATCTCCACATTCTGACCAATCTTTGGTATCGACTGGACAGTTTGCTGGATAGCGAGAGACAGTTCCACTACAAGTATTAAGGGTTGGATGAGGTTCTGCAGAAATCGGGTTGCCAGAATGATCAGTTAAATTTGATAGTGCTATAGATTCAGTTTCTGATCTGGCTGTTACAAGACGGGAGCGATCGCGTCTGGTATAGAAAGGGACTGCCTACTTGTTTTTGGAGACATTATTGAAAGAGAAGAGTGTTGCCTGAGTAAGGAGCTGTAGAAGGGATCGAGAAAAATCGGTCACATTTAGTTAGGCCAAACAGAGTATTTAAGATATTTGTAGGGTTGGTGGTGGTGGATGGTCAGGGACATGTGGAAGAGGGAGCATTACGGAGTGATGGAGAATCTTTGGTATCGACTGGACAGTTTGCTGGATAGCGAGAGACAGTTCCACTACAAGTATTAAGGGTTGGATGAGGTTCTGCAGAAATCGGGTTGCCAGAATGATCAGTTAAATTTGATAGTGCTATAGATTCAGTTTCTGATCTGGCTGTTACAAGACGGGAGCGATCGCGTCTGGTATAGAAAGGGACTGCCTACTTGTTTTTGGAGACATTGTTGAAAGAGAAGAGTGTTGCCTGAGTAAGGAGCTGTAGAAGGGATCGAGAAAAATCGGTCACATTTAGTTGGGCCAAACAGAGTATTTAAGATATTTGTAGGGTTGGTGGTGGTGGATGGTCAGGGACATGTGGAAGAGGGAGCATTACGGAGTGATGGAGAATAAGGCTGTAAGGTAGTAATAAGGGAGGATGGGGTGCTTGATCAAGGTTGTGGGGGTAGAGTTGATGAATTTGAGGGTAGGAATGTCTTCTGGAGATTGATTCTCTGCTTGGGTGGGTAATGTACTAGTAGGCATTGAGGAGTGGGTAGTAGTTTCAGTGTTAGGAGTCGTGGTCAAAGGAGAGCCTGGGGTGGGGCTATTTGATAAAGGGACAAGCCTCATTGCCCCTAATAAGGGGATTACATCTTCACTACTGGTCATGGGGAACCTTGATTATATAAAGTGGTATAAACGGTCCACCTCCTTTCGCTTGAAGGTAAGGGCTAAACAATTAAAGCGGGAGTACCGTGCCCATAGTTCCCGCAGGCCGTTCACGACTGGCATAAGGTCAGCCTTTCATCCTTTCAGCACGGCTCTTACACCTTAGGAAGTAGATAGTAGAATGGCTTGGAGAATGGACGGAAAGAAAAAGCTGGAGGGGGAAAAGACCATACAAAATTAGTTGAG